TGCAAAATTAACAGCACAGAGGCCAGTTACAAAGGTAGCATGAGTACGTAGAAACGTAATTGCAAGAAAAATTAAAGTTACCGTTAACAGGAGAGAAAAATAAAATAAGTATATTTCCAATGGTTATGCCATAATAATAATAATAATAATAATAATAATAATAACAATGTAGCTATAAATGTCAGGACAACGTGCAATAGATGCCACTGGAATCATGGTTTGCAGTCTGAATGATATAATGAATTTCTATGTGATTCTATGCAGTCGGTAGGCTATAGTCTTGTCTCATGCTCATAGCCTGTGTGGAGGCAAAACTTCTCCGTTGAACTAGTGGAAGGAACGTGTAAAATTCGAACAGGTTTCTCGTCCTTCAAAAGGATAGAGAAGGACAAAAACATTTTTTTTCTCAGCCCTAAGAAGGGAAGAAATCTTTTATGAAGTATTTGAGCATTGTTAACTTATTTCCACTGCCCTCTAAATATTGGTTTCCTCTTCAGAACGTTACAATACCACTTAAACACCTTCAATTTTTTTATTGCCAACTTCTTACGAATGTGAGACATAGCCAGTGGAGCCGGTATCAGAGTTGTTTCGAGTTTCTGATTGACAGAACCATTATATATTGACGTAACTGTGTTAGAATAAAATATATAAAGAAAAAGAGAAGTAGCTAGAAGGGAAATAGAGGACAGACAGGTTTAGTTGGTGGAAAACATGATGGTAACAAGAATCATTCAAAATTCTGAACGTGCCCACGGGAGCGTGACTACAGAGCAGTGCTTGTTTCAAATAAAAGAAGATCGACACCCCACTTTTCTTTCTTTTATATTTGACTTAAAACATCAATTGTTGTTGGCCATGTCTCTAACCTCCTCTATTAAATTTTTTTCCCAGTGTCAGTTTTTTACCTTCATTTCTTTTATATATGTGTGTGTATATTTTACGGGCGTTTGTTTCTGACTTGAATACGAATGGTCATTGATAGAAGAGAAACACATTTCGCTTTCACAAAATGTATTCCTGTTTTTTCCTTACTTCTGTATCGCAATATAGTGTGAAACGTTTTGACATTACAGAATGTTCTAACAAAAGGCGAACAGCATGTTAAGCGGAATTTTTTTTTTTTGTCAGTAAGAATTCTCCCCTCACTTCCAATAAAATATAGGCTTTGGTACTGGAAGAAGTGTGGATAATTTAGTTCGAGAATTACAGAAATACAGAGCTCAATAGACCCACAGATACTACAATAATTCGCTATCGACATAAAACTGAATGGGGCATTAATATTTTCGTTTAGAGACGGGTATTAACTTGATTTTCTACCAATATTCGTAAAATATGAGTTACAAAATTTTTGTTGCAGCAACTTCCCAAAATTGCTATATATTTTAGCAATCAGTGAGGGGAAACTGCAGTTCTGCGTATTGTTGCAGATCCTTATCAGGCTGTACAGTGACAACAATTACTTAAACAGTTTTACAGCCTCTCTACACCTACACTAAGCTACAAACTGTTCCTGTACAACCATGAAGAGTGCAGTTCTGCAGGTTATGGCAGGTTCCTGTCAGGCTGTATAATGCAAGCAGGAACCTAAATAGATTTACAGCCTCTCTACACCTATTGTAAGCTATAGAATTTCCCCGTATGATCAAGAAAAATGTCACGAAATACTTACTTCACCGGCTGCAGCTACATTTCCAGAAAACAGCCTAATTAAATCTCGTTGACTTGCCAAAACTGTACTTTGATAAACGTGAAAAGACTCTCGAGAAGTTACGGCTGCTTCAGTAGCTCGCGATCCACAGTTTTATAATCCATGCATTACACTAAATAAGATCTAAAAGTTTGTGACGACGGTACATCAGTACAAATATTATGTTTCTGGAAATTATCCATCGTCCTGTCTTTATCTAAAAACAGTCCAGTTTATTTCTCAGAACACAACGTTTCGGAGACTTGTTTCTGTCTCCGTCTTCAGGAAAAAACACATTCATTTGGGCCCAATCGATAGAGCTACTCCCTATCTCCTGAGAAATAATAAACAGGACAGTTTTCACATAAAGACAAGACGATGGATTATGTCCAAAAACAAAATATTTCTATATGCATTACACAGATGACAAAATCAGCTTACTTTCACTTGTAGTTAGTCGCTTTTCAAACTAAATGACAGTCGAGTTACTATGTGGGTTTAATACTCATTAAAATAACATTCAAGACAATAGTGAGCCGAGCAACGCGACATGACATCAGGAATACATTAGTTGATTGATTGCCAATTTCGGTCTCTTACGAACTTTGATTACAAACTACTTGTCGAGGCAGACTGACGTAGATAAGCTGAGACACATCCTGACACAACTCTTGTGGGCTTAGCTGAAGAGCAAGCTGGAAGCCTCATGCGGTCATCCATCTGTGGATAGCTTTGGGACCTTCTGATAAAACGTTCTAGAAAAGTTCCCTTTAAAAGAAGATATATAAGATTTTGTAACGAACACATTAATACAGCTGTAACAAGTTTGACTTGTATTGGGGACGTTCCTAGTTCCAGCTTCTGTGGGTTGTCAACAGTCATGAGGTACTTTTTGTGCTTTTCCTGCATCCCTACGCGCAAATCCCGGGGATAGTTCTTTCAAAATAATAAAATAATTTCTCACGCGGTTTCTATATGCATTTCCACATATTATAGCCCCTAGTTATACCCTACTATACTAGATAGCGTCTGTAAATCTACAGATCTATGTACGGTTTAAAGCAATGGCTGATATATGCACTACCTGTTCAACATTCTGCCGACAAAGCGTGCTGTATTTGCGAGTTTCATAGGGTTCCTAGAATAAAGAGCAGTAATTTCCTTAAACAACATTAAGGGCTAAGCGTTTGAGGACTGAAATAACAATTTATATCCTACCCAACAGAAAACAATGAGCCTGGATTTCGCAGTCGGTATATCGACTAGCTACGGGTTGGACGGCCGAGGGGTCTAAGTTCGAGCGCCGGTAAGAGAAAGTTTTTCTCCCATCCACGTCATCCAGACGGGTTCTGGGGCCCACCCAGTTTCCTATCCTGTACGTACCGCGGGTAAAGCGGCCTGGGGTCGGGGAGGGGGGGGGTGAAGATGACCGCTGTATTGTAACTAGTGTTGAGATGGAGAATACGTGGATCTATATATCCACTCTCATATTTTCATGCCGTAATTAAGCAGAGGAACAACTTTATATTTTACCCAACAGAAACACATACTGTGACTCCATCACGAAAACCAGTCGGTTAATGGTGTTTAATTCTCATAACCATGAGAACAGAATAGGTTCATGCTGTGGGCTCTAGGGGACTCTAGGACTATACTAACCAATGTACTTCATAGGATTGGGTGATTCAATAATAGCAGCTTCATTACGTATCACGATAAATGGGTTTATTTTTACAAATAAATTATTCAAAAATATTCCCACTCATGTAATTCATTCGTTAATGATACTTCTCATAATATCAGCAAATCATTGCCAAACTCTGAAAGAAAATTTCCCCCTGTATACATGTCGCTTCGTGTTTGAAGGATCCTGCCCGGATATACGACGCCAAACAAGATGCTTAGCTGTGATTAAAGGAGTAACAGGCTGTCAAATAGAACCTATACACTTATAATTTATGGTCTGTAACAATAGCTAATTGAGAACTCTCTTCTAGCCAAGCAGGTACTGCTAACTCATCATTCATTGTTAGCAATGAACAGTGACTCCAAGTGCTGTATTGGTTCAATCATCACACTTATCCACTATAGCATTAATTTATTAACCCAAGATGAGGTTTCGATATTTTATTCAACTGTGGTGTCATAACAGATCATTCAATGGCTCTGATTTAGAAACAACAAAAATGATGTAACTCCATTCCTAGGTCATATAATATGTTGGGGAACATTTTCGCGGGCTGGTGTCAAATCTGCATCAACAGCTACTAACAGCCCTGAGATGTGTCCCTAGCAGCCTTCATTGCAACAGTACTGCCTGGTGGACTTCAAGATAGGGCCCGCTCTGCTTCACCTTCCTCAAGTTCAGTCCCTCTTTCCCTTCTACAATTTATTCTCAATTTTATCATTTTTTTACTTCTCATTTTCTCCCTCCCTTCCTTCCATTTATTCCCTTTTTCTTACCTATTCTCCTTTATTTTATAAATGGCCCTAAACCCCGAAAATGCAGAATGGAAGTCCGAAGAATTTAATGGTATCTTCCCTCTTTTATGTCATTAACTGAATATACTGTAACACACAATGAATTATGTTGGAGATAGAACACTCTGACATTAAGAAATGTGAACTGCCTTGTTCTGTAAATGTTACTTGATGTGTAGGCTTAAGACATGTCATATAATTTTATGTTTATGGCCTTTGGAATGTTAAGTCATCTTAGACAATTTGGTAGTTATAAGATATAATGGTTAATGAACTAACATCAAACTTAATTAATGGGCATTTCACGTTGTTGAAATATAAGGGGAATAAATTGTATCTGCGTGTTTCATCAGGTTGTGAATTTTAGGAAAGAAACGCTACCACTTGTCAGTGATGCATCATTCCGACATTGTGTGACAGGAAATAGATGAACTATCAATATTTTATTCTCCTTGACCGCGTAATTAACCTATTATTTAATTATTAAGGTTCAACAATGATATCAGTAGGATTTTACCATGTGCCTGAATACCTTATAGTGAAATCTAATTGAGTCTACGCATGCTTCTCAAGATACTGTATTTACAATTCATAACATATCACCTGAGCGCCGGTCCGCGCAGTTCTATATCTTCGCAATTTTCACCTGGGTACTAGATGAAGGTGAGTAGTGAGTTTCAACCTTAGGCCAATTTACCCTAGAGGAGACAGTCAGTCTAGACGCGGTCATAGTTCTATCTTCACCAATTTCTGTCCTTACTGTCCGTAAACTGAAGAATTTGAAAGTATTGTTTACCTAATGGTTCAAATTTTCTTCTGTTTTTAGGTCCGGACATCCCGGGGTTCCTGCTACAGCCATTTCGAAAACCAAAGCGAATTCGGACAGCGTTTAGTCCTAGTCAACTGTTAAAACTAGAGCACGCATTCGAAAAGAATCACTACGTGGTGGGAGCAGAGCGGAAACAGCTAGCGCAGTCACTCAGCCTCACGGAGACTCAGGTAACTACAGCGTTGCTCATGTGTCACTCCCGTGGATAACATCAGAGCGTTTGAATTACTTAGGCTTAAGAGGTGCACTGTGTATAATGAAAATTAGTTAAAATAATCAGGGGCTTAACTTTCCTGATTACAACTCTTCTAAGTTCATGACGGTTTGCAATGGCGAGGTCAGTAAAATTATTTTATTTTTTTACGAAAACGGTGTTCAAAAACTGTGGTCCGAGGACCAACGACCTCACGACAATATCATTTACGCTTAGTGCAAAGCTGTTTCTTCTTCTTCTTTCTATTCTCTTTCGTTTCTCCCTTCCACTCTATCTCTTTTTCTTCTTCCCTTGTCTTTATCTTGTCCTTCTCTTCCTGGAGTGCCACCTGTGACTAAGTAACACGTAGTAAAGCCGTATAGGGGAAGTGAAGGTAAACAAGTACAATCTATGAAGCTCGGAATTAGGGGAAGATGAGTTGACAGCTACACGTTCCCACAGCCTCGCCCGAAAAAATAAATCCTTTCATTTATATACACGCATAAACTCAAAACAAAATGAAGTACACTAAAATCAAGCACAATTATTCTATTTATAAAAAGATTTTAACGCTGTTTCATAAATTTGAAAAGCCATCTGTAAGAGCAGCACAGACACATTGTGAAAGATGAACGAAAGTGGTGACAGCTTAATTTATTTATATTTGGTTTAATTAATTATAACACAATTAGAGAAAATTGATTGGAAAGAATTTAAGCAACTAGTCGCAACCCAGTTTAAGGCATTATCCCAACATGTTCCCGGTGGGACTGAGAAGAACCATGAAAATCTTTGGTCTCTCCATTGGAATCTGAACCCGCTCTAGCCCGAATATGATGCAGACATGGTCACAGTAACTTTCCTCTTACGTCGCAGCAGTTCAGATGGGCCACACGACAACCGTGGGATTCCGGCCCTGAGACTTGCGACCAAAGCGGATGGTTTCCATACCACAGAAACAGTGCAGAAATCAGAGTAGTGCTGAATTGGAGGTTCTCAGGCTGGTGATTACGAACAATAAGCCGATTATCGTCTGGGATGTAGCTCATTTTAATTTGGTACAAGTCCATAGACGTTTCGGTGGAACGTATTGCTGTCATCTTCAAGGAGGAAGAGTAAACTAAGCAATAGAGAAGTAAGCACTAAGGAGATCCTGAACTGGGCCTTTTGTTGGTTTGTTTATTGTTCAGTCCTGAAGATGGACACAACAGTTCCTCCAAAACGTCAAAAAAGCTTTACCAGACTCTACGGCATCACATTCCAGAAGATATTGCTCTTCAAAATAAACAGTGTATAAAGTTCAAATACTTACGAGGCGGCTTGGCACCTACAGCCACCGAAACAAGAGATCAGTGGTTCATTACTCGGTGAACGCACTGAAGTGCTTATTATCTGACATTCATTTCGGTGGCAGAAATAGGAGACACCTGCAGACACTAACGGGGTGGCGCGTGTGCACGGGACACAACGTGAACAGTTCCATACGGACCAAAAACTGACTACGAAACTGCTATGGGCAAACTATCATGGCACTGTTTGTTAAAACAGATAGTTCATAAGTGAGAGATACAGAGATAGAGAGGATGTCTCAAACACGTTAGTTTATTCAATAAACCAAAATCGATTGTTATGTAACCGGTGTTTTATGAAGTCCTATAACAGACATTAGTACCAGGAATATTCCTCAGGGTAAAGGGCGGCCGGCGCATAAGGCTGACAACCTTACCACCATCTATGAACCGATTGTCTAGATATTGTGAGAACCTCAACATTTCACAACTCTATGGGCCTCCGAGGCCTATTACAGTGATAGCTTTACCTTTTCTTATTATATATTAAATTCAGTCCGTACTTCACAGAAAACACACTGAGTCTCCATCATAAATAACAAATCAGTTAATGCTGTTCAGAGAGTCATGCTATGTGAAACTCATAAATACGCTCTGTGGGAAAAATGCAGAATTTTAGATATTAAAATAGAGGTTATGTACAATAACCATTACGGTGAAGCTTTAAATTCTTTCTGCAACTTAAGTGTGGAGCCATCAGATACTAAATTTAAACGATATCCTTTCAGTGAGTTCTGGTCCAGGGGATGAAACATAAGGACGGGGCTGTAGATATGGCAACTCTGTATCTCCCTTATTTCGTAATTTTGTGCAGTTCGTATAAGCTGCTCTCAGCTGCGGCTGAAATGCATTTCACTCGGGCTCTCTGAGAGTTACTAATTGCTTGTGAAAGGCCGGGATAGCGTAACCGCTATAGCGACTTCTTAAGGGTTGAACGACCCCCGAGGTCGAAATTCGAGTCCCGGTAGGGTCAAGAATTTTCACTTTTCCAAAAACTGGCGCTGGGGATCAACCAGCCTCCTATCTAATGAGAACCGGGGGCTCTTTCCCCCCGTATAAAGTGGCCAGGACGTGAAGTGACCACTAACCTCCAACTAATTCTGTGGTCAAGAAAGCGTGGATTTATACATCCACTACACCATACGCCTTCATGGCGTAGTGTTTAGTTAGGTAAGCATAGGGACAGATTTTGTGAGGAAATAGCCTTGCCTTGTGGCTGCATGTGTCGCTGCAATCGTGTCAGGCTTGTTCAGAAAAGAAAAGTTGATGCCTTGACTGAAGTCACACACCGCAACAATATCGTATAACTTCTCTATAATCTCTCCTTATCGCTTAAATAACATTAAAATTTGTTCCCAACAAAGCAAAGTACATTGCATGAAAGGAGCAACAACATGGAACATAAAAACAGAGACAAAACTTTGTAAATGCGCTTCGCAGCCATGTTGGATTGAAATGACAGGAACGAAATATTACCCTTCATTGTAACACTACCCCCCGTGGAGATGACGGTCATTTTTACGTCTATTCAAGTAGCTATAAACCCCTTTTGTTTAATTTCTAACTATGGCTGCTTCCGAAATGTTCATTCATAAAGCTTTAGAAATTCAAATGATACTTTAAATTTTATTCAGCTCCTACGTCACCTCCCCCTCTACATCGTAAAGCCCAGTTTAAACAAATAGGGCTAACACCCCCCCTCTCCCCTTCACAGGCTACCGACCTTCGGTTCGTGCGCTGTGGTCATAAAGCAAAAGAAAATCTGATACCTCAAAACACAAAGACACAGTAATCAAGAGGCAGCTTGACTTATGCATCCCATACATAACACTTCAAGACACACAGAGTCGGCAGTCAGACTGATAATATAACCTTATTTTAACAGTTTAACGACGCTGTGCCAGCTGCAAATGATATGCTAACCTCTTTACAGAGTAATAATGCTTTTATGAACGAAACTACTGCCGAAATAAGTTTTGGGTTAAGTAAAGAAAGTAAAAGCAAGTAAAGGTATCCCTGTAACAGGCCATGTAGGCCTATAGGTTTGTGAGACGTTGAGGTTGCCACATTTTCTAGACACTCGGCTCATAGATGGCGGTAAGGTTGTCAGCCTTACGCGCCGTCCGCCCTTTACCCCCAAGAATATTCCTGGTACTCATTTCTGTTAGACGCTGAAAGATTAAGAAAGATTAGATAAATTGAAAAAAAAATCCAATGCCCTCATTGGGATTTGAACCCCTTCTGCCTTGTAGCATAGTGCCTCAACTAACTACGCCACCGCGTGCATAAATTTTGGGTTATATTTATGAAACATGAAGCCTTCTTTATCCGAAACACATTTCCATATAAATTGATTATTTACAAAAAGAACTCATCGGACAAAAACGTGTAGGCCTACACGGCATAAAATATGACACAGAACTTATCAAATGTAATGCATAACCATCACGTAAAATTTATACAGTAAGTTATTATTAACCAACTAACTAACTAACAATATGGATTTCTAATTTTGGACTCTATCCATCGTCTGGTATATATAAGACAAAAAAAAAACCACAACGTTTCGCAGACTGGATCTGTTTTGGTTTTTTGTCTTATATATACCAGACGATGGACAGAGTCCAAAATAAGAACCCTTACAGTTCTGTACAGCATACACCATCCTCAGAATCCTTTCAAGTCTGTTAACAACATGGAGCTAAGTACTTCTTGAGGAGACACTCTCAAGAATATCCTAAAACTTTATGACACCCGAAAGTTCATTACAGTGCTCCCAACAGCCCGCCACTGATCCCTATCTTGAGACAGATTAATCCAGTCCATACCATCCTATTTTATTTCTCTAAGATCAATTTTAATACTATCTTCCACCTACGTCTGTCTTTATGTCTCTCCTTCTAGCTTTCCCGCTAAAAGACCCTACGTTTTCCTCTTCCCCTCATGGATGCTATATGTCCTGTCAATCTCCTTCTCCTTGACATGATTATTTTAATTATATCTGGCGTAAAGTACAATTTACGAAGACCCTGATTATGTAACTTCCTCCATTCTCCTGTCACTGTATAGCTCTGCTATTCCAATGTTCTCTTCAGCGCCCTGTTCTCAAACATCTTCGGTCTACTTCCTTCAGTTAGTGTCAGGAGCCATTTTTACGCCCATACAAAACCACAAGAAAAATATTGTTATTACAGCGTTCTAAATATTTATATTGTCATGTGTGAGTGACTACAGACGGGGCTTGAATGGTGACTCGATTTATTGATCATTTATACACTCACGACTCGTGACTAAATTTTATAGATCACTAACACAGACCACTGTCATCAATATAACAGTATCCACTAGCCATTTCCTGGTAACGAATTTTAACTAACATAGGGACTATAACACTCTCACTGAATTTCACACTCAAATATCACATACAAAGTCTTCTCTTCAAAGGCGGACTTTCAATTGTGCAATCTTGCAACTAACCTGCGGCCATTTCACACATGAACCACCTAGCCTTCTTTTCACCTCCCATCAATTGACTAAGCTCTAAACCTCGTCTCGCTTATAACGTCGGCACGAACCACGCAGAAAACACAGCTCTTATATTGTTTTAGTCCAACTGTTGTATTATTAA